TTAGTGTGAAGTTTCCTGACTGGACGACACATCACAGAGCATCCAAAACCTGAAAATGCGGTGATTCTTTCTAATCCTTGATTAATGTTGTCATTTGTGCAATTTCAGTAAAGACAGTTGACCTCATGAACCTGTGGGGAGGTTTTGGGGGAACAAATACACGACATTCGCTCCTTAACGTGGTTCAGCCATCGTGTTTGGATAAAGAAAGAGAGGACGCCTCTCTCCACACTCAACCATCCGCTCGGACTTTTAACTCTATTTAATTTCCTCTGACAGGAATAAAGTTCTCCATCCTCCTGAATCCTATTACCTTTGCACGAGAGGTGTCTTTAACTCATCATCTATCTGCTATCTATTGTTTCTGCCTGCCTGTCAGACTGTCTGCCTCTTCAGCTGTTTAAGGCTCTTTGTCTGTGTAATTTCTTGCCTTCTTCTCCTTCCTACACACCCATCTATTTCCTTGTCTGTCTCCATAAGTGCAGCGTTCATCCGTCTGACTTTAACGCGGATTTATTATTTTTTTATAAGTGCACCTACGTGAAGGGCTCAGTCTCGTGGACGTCCAAGGCAGCTCCACGTATCCTCCCCTCCTTGAGCGCCTGGGCCAGAGCTTTCTCATCCACCAGGCCTCCCCGTGCGGTATTGACCAGGAACGCGCCCTGACGCATCTGCGGTGCACAAAACACACAAACGAGTCAACACGGGAAAAACAGACACACACACAGGCAGGTGTTTACAGACTGAACGTCAGGTGAGCGCGGTTTTGTGCGTCTGTCGGGCTGGAAGTCAAATTAATCTGTTTGATCTAAAGCAGAAGATCAATCTGGATTTGAGGGGAGGGCGTCTTAACCAAACCTATTACATGCGAGGTAGAGGCAAAGTGACATCTTTGTTGCACCTGACACCTGAAAGATCCAGGAAGACAGAAAGCACCTGTGAAAAACACTGTCAGATGTGGGGATAGAGAGCAGTCCTTATCCGAAAGCGAGAGATGAAATGAAGGATGAGCTGAAAGATGAGGCGGCAGCAGCAGCACCCCTTGCTGCTTGTGGTAGGAGAAGAAAAAAAAAAGACACAACAAAAAGTGTAAGAGGGAGGAAGGAGGAAAAAAAAAAAATCAAATGAATATGCTCAGAAGAAAGTAATCCCTTAATCTTGACAAAAGCTGAAATCCAGGGGCATGAAAAGCCTTTACGCTGGCAGGCAGTCTTTTATTAGGCCTTGGTGGTTTTGACACACAAGAAAATACACAAACATGCACACACACGTTTCCACTTTAGATGCTAAGAGCCACTGCCAAAACATTTTTTATTTTTTTTTTTTTGGTGAGGAAAAGAGAGAAAAGTGTTCTTTCACTGCAGCACTTAAGAGGCAGCTGAGAATCTTCGGCTTTTTTGGAAAAGACACAGAGTTAACTGGGTTAGGCTATTACCCTACACCCACTCCTCTTTATCTCCTCGCGAAAGCTGCAGCTCGCGAATTTCGAGAAGGAGACGAAGGGTACACGAGAGGCAAGACAAAGGGAAACAGCGAGGAGCAACGTGGGGCGATATTGACAGAAGGGGAGACGCTCCTTCAGACTGCTGCAGTTCCTCGGCTCCCCTGCAGGTGTCTCCCCAGGCGGCGCCTCCGAGTGCAGTTATTGACTCAGAGCGGCACTTTCCCCCTCTCAGCGCTCTCAGCCCCCCGCTGTGCAGCCTAGTCGATATATTTGCTGTAGCCGTGGGCTGGCGCTAATTGCATTTGACAGAGCAAAGGGATGAATTTGTGTCCAGCTTTGGTGGAGCTTAAGATAAAGAGCTGGGAATGTGCAGGCAGGAAGGGTGCTGCTGTTTCCAGACTCTTTTATTTATTTTTTTTATTTTCCTTTCCCCGCTCTCTCTTTCTACCAACTATAATGCTCTTTAGGCCAGCCTCCAGGCTGACAGAGTAATAATGCACCAGCAGCTCTGCTTGTCTACCTGCTAGATAGCAACTGCATTAAGCCGAGGTCAGGTCGCAGCTGTTCAATGCGATGTTCAGCTCTGTCGGGATGACGCGCCTGCACGTGTGCGGGTTTGCTAATGCACCTGTTTGATGGTGAAGTCGTTGATGAGGTGGTGGTTGTGCTCGTTCAGGTTGCAGTGCAGGGAGACGCAGTCGCTCTGGTAGAGCAGGTCCTGCAGGGTGTAGACGCGCTGGACGCCCAGCGAGCGCTCCAGGCCGTCCTGCAGGTAGGGGTCGTAGAAGATGACGTTGAAGCCGAAGACCTTGGCCCGCACCGCCACCGCCTGGCCCGAACGACCTGACGACACACAGACACGAAGACGGCGTTATTTCACAGTAAACCACAGGAGCATACATATGGACAACATATATGCATGTTTATGTTACTATCCAGAGCAGGGAGCATGTTGTCTGCAACTTAAGTGAGATTACTCTGATATAAGTCACTGGATTTCTTGCCAAGTTTGGAGCAGCTGAACACAACGCAAACAGAAAATAGAACTTGGAAAGAAAAAGTTGCACAACAAGAAGAAAAGAAATTCAAGGACCACAGATGAAAGTCGCCTCTTGAATAACTCGAACACGTTTAGAGCCATCACGTGTTCTGTCCCTTTTAAATACAAATAAATGCAGAATTCAAAGTTTAATTGGTTCCAATCACTTCAGTGTTCTATAGATGTTGTTAAAGGATCGTGAGCCTCCTTAAGAATCCTCCTCTTGTGATTCAAACTAAAAACAACAGTTTTAATATCGTACAAGATTCACAACTAGACTTTTAGTGGCTCTAAACAATTTCTGTTGAAAACACAATGAAAGGAAATTTTAAAAAACAACTTTACGAGACTGTAAAACGCGCACTTTAACATTATAAAAAAAAAAAGTTTAATTTCCTAGAAAAGCTGAATCTTTACTGGCGGCTTAATCTAAAACATACAACCTCTAACCAACGAAGTGATTTTAAACGAATCCCTCCTGTCCGTCAAATTAATCAGAATAAAAACCACGATCCTCTAACATTCAGTTTAAATTATATCATATTAAAAAACAACTCACTCCCTTTATCATAAAACACACACATACAAAAAAAAGACCAGAAGCTTGGAAGCATTTTCTTTGTTGGACTCTTGTTTGCGGCTGATTCATCAAACATGTGGCTCATAAACTACAGAAAATGTTCTGAGTGTGCAAAGCGAGGAGCTGCTGCTGCTGCGGTACGAGCATCCTATAGTGCTTCACGTCGGTTGAATCGCGAGGCTTTGTGATCTCAAACGATGATTCACGGCGGGTCAATGCCATTCAAAACACAGAGTCTTCACTCAGCCCGTATTCTTCTCTGCGGCGAGTGTGAAGGATGTGTTCGAGAGACGGAAAAAGAATTTACGAGTGAAAAGTGACGGAGAAGTAATTTCAGGAGGAGGACAATGCGAGGCGACTTGTCTCTAGCCGAGGCTGTGAGACGCTGAATCAGAAAGCGTACGAGCCTCCGTCTCTCGCAGACATTTGTTGTGTAGGATGTGAGTCTCCACTCTGCTGGCTGGAGATACCGGTTGCTGTTCTGCTGCAGCTGAGAGCAGGAGAGTAATGGAGAGTTGGATGTTGTTGCTGGTGAAAAGGATCGATAAGGTCCTTTACACTCTCAAGGTCCTCTCTTTGTGATGGAGCATTATGTCCTGCTCTCAGGCTCCACAGCCGAGGAGAATCATCCCTCCTCGCTTCCTCTTTCAGCGTCGGCCAATAAGAGATGGCAGGATAAAGACAGGCCTACTTAAGCAGCCGCTGTTTTAATGACACCAATGGATTCTAATTGCGGCTAAACATTACTTTCATCCCTGATTTTGACTGAAGTAAAAAAAAAAAAACCAGCCCGTCAGCAGCGATGTGTTTTTTTATCCACCTCTCCTCAACCAGTCACTCGCTCTATTCCCAGAGCACATTTTGACATCACACAGAGCACAGAAATGAACTTGTTGCATTCAGCGGCTGGTTAAAAGTGCAGGTTGAAAGAAGAGCGATAGCAGCAGCAGCAGCAGCAGCAGCGGGGGAATGAGTTTTTCCAGTCAGTCTCAAACACACCAGGTCGTCTTGCGGTTTGCAGAACAATCTGATTTACCAAGAAGCTGCTGCCAAAAATCGGGATCACTGCTTTTTTTTTTTTTTGCAATAACTTTTCTGCCTCTGAGGTCGTTGGGGTTTGATCTAGAACGGTTTACAATGAACCTTTGTTTTTTTTGGTTTTGGGGGTCTAAAAATATCTCTACTGGAAAACTATTAGTGTTTTTTTTTTTGTGTTGATTTTCCCGGAGAATCCCAACTTCGCTCTTCTTCTTCTTCCCCTTCCCACACAAATCAATGCCACTAACAGGGAAACCAAGGGGTCTGCCTCCCACTCAGGGGGATTTTCAGTCTGTTTGTGATGCTCATTTATCAACAGAAAACAATCGTAAACAGTCCGATCAGTGTTGATGTAGAAGAGGGGCAACTCCAGGTGTCCTGAACCGCCGTCACTGAGGGAAGATGCATTGAATAAAACACACCACCGTTTCCCAGAGGACAGTAAACATCATCTGCCCATTGCTACCACTGCAGTATTAAACAGATATAACAGGCATATAGAATTTAGGTTAAGCTGTGGATGAAGCTTTTGTAAAGACTCGTAAAGACTACAGGGATGGGATCTATTTAGAAGAGCTGGAGGAAACAAGTGCTGCTGAACAAAGCAAGACTGACCCAGAACCTAAATAAATAAGAATAAATAGAAGATAAAGAAACAAAAAAATGCTTGATGGACGTAGTGTGATGTCTCAGCTCGGTGAGTTTGTGCATTTTAATTGGGAATTATCAGAAAAGCTTATTATACTACATATATACCTGAGTCCTCATGTACGAGATGTGTCAGAAAAGTTCCAGGACTGGTGTCACAGAAGATAGATTTCAAATCCAAACTACTAGTTTTCCTCTTCCAAGTAATCCCCCTGGAGTCTAACACGGTTCCTCTGTAGCTCCATTGTCACAGCCATCTTGATGTCGTCCACGTCTTCTAAACGGGTCTCCTTGATGACCCCCTTGAGCTTGGGGAAGAGGAAACAACCCCACGGAGCCAGGTGGGGTGAGGAGGGAAGTTGCACGGAGATGTTCTTCTCAGCCAGGAGCTGTGGGATGCTCAGGGCGTTGTCATGGTGAAGCAGCCTCCACTGGTCCTGCCACAACTCTGCTTCTTCTCTGAACAAAACAACGCTGCAGGATCTCTGTAGACGTGCTGGTTGATCGTAGTTTGGGTTTGAAATCTATCTTTTGTGACACCAGTCCTGGAATTTCTCCGACACACCTCGTACTTCTGCATGACTGTCTCGCCTGCATAAGCAGTCATAGAGTGAGTGGCCCCAAAAAACTGAATATTTGGCTTCCAGCAATGTGCTAAAAAAATGTTTTATAAGACTTTGTGCCACCCCAATGAGAGCAACGATCCCAGCCTGACCACCACTGATGTATACAGCAGAGAGTCACATTATGTGTGTTGCCTGTCTGCTACTAGAGCCAAACTGTTGAATTTAATATTCAAGATATTAATATATCCCATGAATTGTTATATGTCACAATATTTCACATGTAGGCAAAACTACTCCCTCATGTTCAATACTACTATTCATAACATAGGAGCAAACATGTACAAAATAAATGTTCAGTGTATTCATGCTCTTCCCATTTTGTTTCATCTCAGCATGTATAAACATCAATAAGGTTTCAATCAATCAGCTTTCTTTGTCCCTCATCTGGCGCTTCACGATGCTGCAGTGTGTTAAGTATGCATGCGTTTAACATACATGAAACACACACGGCTGTAAAACTAGTCGGTCACATCGACGGAAAACCAATTAGCTCAAACATTCTGCAAACAACCACCTTCCCCTCCCAGAGTTCGGCAGGGAGACGCCAGAGGGTGTGAACGAGGCTACCAGATGGCGGCGAACTGAAAGCGTCGATGTAAAGGATGCTCTCTGATTACGTAACCGCTCGCTGTAGAGGTCCTGCAGAGTTTCCTGTGCAGTGCCAGTTACTTTGCTGCAGACGCTAACCACCTTGTCGAGTGCATTTTGACCTTGAGAGATTGATACCGGCAGATAAAAAAAAAGAGAAAGCGAGCGAGTGAAAGATCGATGAAACGCTGTCACCGGGGTCCTGCCGATCTGCAACTTAGAGAGTTTCCCGAGACAAAAGACGTTCTGCCGGGTTTCCTTGTACACCGTGTCAGTGTGATGCCAGTTTATTGTCTAGTGCAGCTCCCCAGAAATCCACTGTTTCTGTATTCTGGCCCATCAATCAGCGTACCGTCAGGAGAACGGGAATCAATGTTCTTAGTCTAAAACTGATTAGAAAAAGTTGAAGAATCGTCAACAACAGGACCACTGGAGCTCTGCTCGGTGTTGAGGCGACGGCATCGTGAGTAAACTTCAGGATGTGATGCTTAACATACATGCTTGGGTCAAAACCGACCATTTACTTTTTCTAAAAGTTAGGAAACTCTGAGATCCAGCCAATAATTCTGCTGCTGTTCAGTGCTGAAGTCCACAAATGATATTCCTGCCTGACAGTGAGAGTGCTAGAGATGCTTTCATATAAATAGTTTAGCAGTTAGAGCTACTGTGGCATCCTGAACCTCTCTGTTGGATCTATAACGCACATTGTAGGGAGTCAAGATGTTTGGTCCCATCTAGTACTTCTTCTGTTTTTTTTTTTTTGTAGTCTTAACCACAACATGAAAACTAAAGTAATTAAATTATTAAATGAGAAAACTCAAACTACTTCCCTCTGAACTTCAAATCTTGCTGGCAGTTTTCAAAAGGCATGTTATTATTATTATTATTATTATTATTATTATTATTTTAATTTGAGCAATCACCCAACTCATCGCAGCCAGAAACTTTAAAAACAGAAAGAAATGTTGGAGTTTTGACTTCCCAACAGTCCTTTAGCGACCCAGGTGCAAGCTGCCGTGTTGTCATCCAATTCTAAATTGTGATGCTTAGTCTAAACCATGTTTTGAGACTTTTTCTGCTAAACTGCGGGCAGTGTTGACACAGAGCAGACAGGGGACGAGTATTAAACTAGATTAGAGCCACCATTCTTTCTTCCGGTATTGGTAACACTTGTGGGCAACAATGATGTTGATTCCAGGTTTTTCTATCTTTGTAAAAATGAATAATAAAAGAAATTCAAACGTATTTTTTACCCTCTTTATTAGGGATGAATGATCTATCGGTGACCACATCGGTATCGGCCAATATATCGGTATCGGTTGAT